CCGCCCGGCCTGGTGCGGGGCCTGCCGGAGCCGGGACGGCGGAGCCGCGCGACGGCCCACGGCGCAGAGGGGCTGGGAGCGCCCGAGCCCGGTTGCCCCCCGCCCCCTGCCTCGGCACAAGCCGCGCCGTCAGCCCGTGTCACCCAGGGGCTTCCCCGGCGTTGGAAATGTCCCGTGCCCCTCCCCAGCCTGGGCACCGGGGCCTGAGGGGACTCGGTCTGGCCTGGCCTGGCCTTTCCCCCTGTCCACTTGGGGTCACTTCACCCCCAAGCCCAGGGGTGTTAGGCAGCTGCCTGGTCAGGAGCTGCTGGGCTGGTGACTCAGGGAGACAGGATTGAAAAAAACCCTCCTGCTCTTGCACAAAGCCCAGCTCGGGGAGCCCACGGATACGTGAGCCAGACAAAACAGAGATTTCTTGAATCAGACGGGAATCTTTCTCGGTGAAAATGGAGCCTGACCGCTGCCGTGGTGCCTGCCGGAGTCTGCCCAGAGCCCACGACAGTTTCTCAGAGGGGAGCAGCTGCCTCCTTGCCAAGCTGGGTGTTTGCCCTGAAACCTAACAATGGCAACAGCACCACATCAGCCGGACCGAGCTGGGCACTGGCTGCTGGTGCAGGTTGTGTTGTTCTCAACTGCTCTCCTCAGCTCCCCTGCTCCCCCCTGGCAGCACAGATATCCTCAGCTCATTCAAAAGATAGATGCAGCATCAAACCGAATGACCTGAATATCAGGAGAGAGCAGGGCAGCTGCACTAGTGCTGCCAGTCACCTGCAGATGGAAGTCCACAGCTATTTGTAGTTGTGGGTTTGCCAGGACCTACAGAAGGTCCCATCTGCTGCATTTGAGACCACAGCAACCCCAGGGGGCTCAGCTGCAGAAACCTCTCACTCCCAGCATCGTGGAGCCATGGAGCATTTACGCTGTGCACTCACACAATGGATAACTGCTTGGAAATGGGCTCTGTGGCTGTGTGCCAAGGCACACCGCCTTGCAGTGGGGCTCTGCAGAGGCAACCATCTGAAGGAAAATCCCCCTGGGCATGCATCTCTGGAGAGCTGCCTTCAACTGCTTCTCAGCTGACAGCTAAAAATCAGTGTGATGGCATCATCCCGCTGTGCACAGGACAAGAATACCATCAGCCTCCGCCTGGCATGTGGTACCCTCCCAACAGAGACCCAGAGAGAGGGGCATCAGCAGAATCAAGCACAGCAGAGGGGCTGAGCGAGGGGCACTGGCAGAGCAGAAGCCTGGGAGGGAGCACAGGGCTGGGATAGCAGGGAGCCATGGGTTGGGAAGGAGGAGACAGCAGCACAGGACAGGTCAGAGCAGGGGAAGGAACTTTTCAAAGTCTGGTCTAGGACTGAGAAGCGTTGGCAGAGGTGTTGAGGAGCAGGGGGCTGCAGGTCAGCATAGAGGGGCATTGGCAGAGCTGGGTGAGGGGATCCCAGGGCAGGGGGTGACGAGTACAGTTCCCAGTCTGGGTGCATACGGTAGCTGTTACAGGCCCCTCAGTGTGACGTCTGTGAGGGGGGATTAGAAGCCAGCCTTCCTTTGGGGTGTCCTCAGCAGAAACCCCAGCAAAGGGCAAGGCTGAAGGGGGCTGTTCGTGGGCCACTTGCACAGGTCCAGGAGGACACCCAGCTCTGCTCCCAGTGCTTCCAGGAGGAGCCCAGCAGACAGGAGCAGCAGGTACACCTGGCACTGTCACACTGCCACCTGGTGGCCAGCTCCCTTCAGCTGGATGAGACTGGTGGGGCAGCGGGTTAAGCCAGGGTGGCCAAGGGAGACCACCTCTCACAGAGTCCTTGACACAACAAGCCACATGCCCAGGGCTGACCCCCAGTCCACGTGTCCCTCCCACCCCACAGGCCTTAGCCCAGGCAGTGGCCAACAGGGTGACACCACCTTCTCTGACAGGGGTACACATTCCCCCTGCCTCTGTGCGGACATCATGACCCTGGCCTTGCCCTGCCCTGCCCCCCATTTCTTCTCCACTCTGCTTCCCCTTTCCTTACCTCTGTTTGTGCCCCTCTCCATCTCCCTCATTCCCTATGCTTTGCCCTCTGTGCCCATCTGGCTGTGAGCAGATAGAGGTGTGGAGATGTGTGGGCGCAGGATCCTACAGGATCATCTCCCCCCCAGTCCCTTGCTGGGCAGTGCCTCCAGCAGGTGGGTGAAGTTGGGGACCAGGCAGAGGTGGGTGGGCCCAGCATGTCCATCTTGGCACAGGGTGGTGC